CCCCCCCCCCCCCGTGTGCGCCCCTTATCTTCATCCCCCGTGTTTCTGCGATTGTTGGATGTGGGGGGTTGTCATCTCAGGGCTAACTCGTGTTTGTGCGCGTGCTCCGCCCCCTCACCGAATAACTTTGGGACCCGAACTTTTAATGTGACTCCGGGGAAAACTCCGGGTGTTTTCTTCTTCTTCTTCTTTCATTTGAATGTTAAAACCTTTGGTAATGGTCCCGCCGGGCCTCGTGGTTCCGGCTCTGAACAATCCAGATGCGACCACAAACGGATAAATTAGAGAGGCCCGTCGTGGTTTGGCCACGCCCCCTTTGGCCACGCCCCCATAGGCCACGCCCCCTGGAGGCTTTGGCTGGAACGCTGCTTTTCCAGCTGACTCACACTGACCAAACCCGGGTTTTAGGAATGTGAACGGGTGAAGAAATGCTTAATAAAAAGCTAACACAACAACTCCAGCAAGTTGATAATAAACTGACAAAAATCAGACATTTTATTCCTGTTTGTACAGCATATTACTCGTACACAGTTGTGGAGTCACTCTAGTGGGGAAAAAAGGGGGGTTTGTTGTGTTTAGTGTTGCGTAAAAAAAAGACGAAAGTCGTGTCGATTCCTCTTTTCTACGGATGACCATGCTACTGTCTGCTAGTCTCCAGCTCTCCTCTTCTACTTATTATACTGGTATGCGTTTAATAAAGTGGTACCAAATTTTCAGGTCTGGTGTGATGTTTCCTCCACTGATATTCCCAAAAAACTGCGTATCAACTGGAGAAAACGCAGATCCAGACTCCTGATCCCACATTAGCATTAGCATTAGCATCTCCTAATCCACAAGTCTGTGTCCTAACCATTAAGTTGTTATCAGAGTAAATCCCTGTTCAACATGAGTCTGACAACTTAGTAAATAGATAAATAACTTTAAACTTTAACACATGCTCTGATTGGCCGGGATCGGAGGAAAAAAAATAGCTGGATCAGGGTTCATATTTGAGTAAAATGAGCTTTAAAAAAAAATTAGAAATCAGAAAAAACTGAAATCCCTGTAGCTTTTCCCCCAAAATGTCGTCCTTCTTCAAACCGAGGAGGCTGGGTCTGCTCCTCCTCTTCCTCGCTGGCCTACTTCTTCCCTCCCTGAGCTGCATTTGAATGCACCGCGCTGCCTTCGCTGCCTAATCTATATTCTCTCTGCATCCGGATGCTTTGATGTAGCAGCTTCTTTTTACCCTCGAGAAATAAATAAAAAAAGAACAGATAGCATAGCATCAGACGCTTATTAGAATCCCCCCAAACCTCGGAGGGAGTCGGTAAAAATGGGTCAAGTTTATACAGAATAAACCCGTTTTTTCGGGTCTGGTTGGGCTGAAGTGGACCAGGTTTTAGATTTGGTTTTAAGCTCTGGGTTTTTTCTCTCTCTCTCTTTCTCCTCTCTGGTCTCGTGCTCTGAGATTAGAGCAGATTAACGTAATCTTGACTGGGAGAGTAAATCCAAAGGTGCGCTTCACTCTCTCCTAAACCGGATGGGGCTGGATTTGCTCACTGGGGGGGTTTTGGGTCGGTAGGAGGCTTTCAAACTCAATTTTTCAACCTCAAAATTCCCTCAGGTGATGGTCGTATCTGAGAAATAGAGATTTCTGATGGAGGGGCTTCTCCCTTTTTGGGCTGAACCACTTCAGGACAGAGGGGTGTGTTTTTCCGGGCCTGTTCTGTAATTAAACTGTAAGTAATCTGTAAATTAGTTTTAAAGTATGCAAATGAAGGAATCAGGACAAGAGCTGGAGCTAGTGGGAACTGAAATGATAAATAAATATATAATAAATAAATAAAACAATAAATAAATAATAATAAATAAATCAATGAAAATAAAAAAGTCCTGTTCTCATCAGAAAACAGTCTGTCAAGGTCTCAGCTGGTGAGTTTAGAGAGTTAAAAGCTGCCAGTTGAGAGATGAGTGCCTGTTATTGTGTTTCTAAACTCATTTAAAAGACGCTGTTTGTCACAGAAATCCATTTCCCCGACATAAAATAGTCCGGTTTCCTGACCTGGGCCCGACGGGCCGGTTTCTGACCAGTCCGCTCGAGGCTAAACGAATAAAAAGAGGCGTTTTTCCGTTTAATCCAGCCTGAGTTTACTGGGGAATGGAATCCAAAGCCCTGCTAAACTTCTGTCACAGTCATCTGATCAGAAAAACTCAGCTAAAACAGCTTCAAATCCAAACTCCACAGAGAAAAAAACCTGAAAGCGTAGTTACAATGTTCTGATTTATTGATTTCTGACTTGTGAATGATTAGCAATTCTGTCCAAAGTCAGACAAAAACAGAAATATCAAAGCATTGTTCATGTTTACTTCTGTAAATACTGTCATATGTAGCTTTAATAACCCCAGAATCATAGATCACATCACATACAATTAACAGATTGATACATTTCTACCTCTATCAGGTATAAATTTATTATTATTTATTATTATTATTATTATTTATTGATTTATGGCATGTGCAGTCTGTCCAAAGTGGGACAAAAACAGAAATATCAAAGCATTGTTCATGTTTACTTCTGTAAATACTGTCATATGTAGCTTTATTAGCCCCAGAATCATACATCACATCACATACAATTAACAGACTGATACATTTCTATTTCTATCAGGTATTTTTGAATGATTCAGCACATATTAACTTCCTGTTTTCAAAGGTTTGGGCATCTGGCTCCGGCCAGTGGAACAGAAAGCCCTCTCCCAGAACAGATATGAGTGGAAATGGGAATCCTGGATTTGTTTTGGTGCCTCTGAGATGGGAAACATGTATTTATGGAGTCTGGCCCGGCCCTGAGAAGATTACTGTGTTTACAGGAACAATCGGACGACACCAACAGGAGATTATGACCCACTAGTGACCCCATCTGAGAAAAAAAGGCACCAAAAAAACTGCTCGTTTAACAGAACAATGGTCCCGTTTTACTATAGTTAGCTGGAGAAATTCTCCTCATTCCACTAAACACGCTGGCCAGGGATGTTTGTTTCCCCAATAAACAGAAATTTGTGTTTTTTTTTAGGTGGATTTTACCAACAGAGAACATCCAGTGTGAAGGAGGGGGGGGGGGGGTTTTTCCCTATAATGCCAAATGTGTCATATTTGATACGGTTTCTGAAGTCTTTTGGATCTGAGACTTTTTGCATCATTCAGTGGTAAAAGCTTTGCTCAAACCCCTGTTGTACACATTCAGATATACCTGATAACAGCCAGTAGAAGACTACACGGAAATATATTTTTCACTTATTGCACACTAATTTGATCAAAATAATTTCTGTTTTTTTTTCTTCAAATGTTGTTGAGGGGCCAAAGAAAGACTTCAGACTAAAAAAATCCAATATTCTTCCTATTTTTATTTGATCGGGCTTTAAAGGGTTAAGCAGCTTTGTCTTCACCAAACCAAAGAAACAAAGATTATTTAAAGCACCTCCAGCCGTTTCTTACAGAAACCACTAAATCAAACCGACTACTTGTGGAATAAGGAGGAAGATGGAGGCAGATAGAGACTGAAAATGAGTTTATTAAAGAAACTTCAAACAAAAAAAGAACCTGAGGAAAAACCAACATCTCAAATAAATACAACCTAAACCACAAAATCAATGAACGGACCACAGATTCATTATTAACCAAACCTCAAACTCTACTGTTCAAATCCAGCTTCCAGTGTCAGGTGTCCGTATCAGAATATGATCTATTATGATTAGAATTTGATGGATTACAGAGATTTACTAAAGAGCTGTACCAGAACGTTAACGTATAAAATGGCCACTGTCCGTTCAAATTTGGCTTTAAAACAGTAAAAGTGGAGCCGATTTACTGTTTACCGTCTCTATAACTGATCAATTTGATCATATCGAATGTTTATTCAAGGCAAGTGAAGCTGGTTCAAAGTTCAAACTCAGGACTCGTGCAGTTCTGCAGGAGTCAGGGAATCCTGGAGAATCCCAGAGGACTTAAATCTGAAGCAGGATCTTAAAACATTGAAAACTCTGTGCTGGGTTTGTAGTTTTTTCCCAGTCTGAGTTGTCAGGCTGAAGAATGTGCGGCGTGCTCCACAAGTCCTGTCCAGACACAAACACACTGTCAAGTCCCAACCTGGGGCCGGGTCTGAGCCATTCCTGGAGGGGGGGGGGGTACTGGAGCGTGTTAAACAGGAACCCCCCCATCAGCCTCTGTCCCTCTGCTGGGTTTCCAGTCCAATCTGGACTAAATCATGTACTGCAGGGGTGTCCAGCTCCCGTCCTGCAGGTTTTAGAGGTTTCCCCGCTTCAGCACCCCTGATTCTGATGAATTGGATCAGTCCAAAGTCCAAAGGCTCTGCACAAATCTGATAATAATCGCACACACATTGGAATCAGGTGTGTTGAAGCTAGGAGACTTCTAAAACCTGTAGGACAGTGGCCCCTCGAGGACCGACTCTGGACACCCCTGATGTACCAAAAACACCAGATTTCTCTTTATTGAACGGCACAGAAAGATCCAAACGCCTCGGAAATGTTCCTCCCAAATCTTTAGAGACACATTTAACAGTTACAAACATAAATAGACCGGATTTAGAATAAAAAAAAATAAAAAAAGCTTAATTTCTTTATATTTCAAGCACATGTGGCTGATGTCCACCTTCAGCCCCCCCCCTGAGCTGCCACATGGTTCGGTCCGGGGGGGGCCGGGGCAGGTCTTTAAGGGGGGGGGGCCCTCCTGGAGAATCCAGGGGAGCTTCTCACAGACCCGGGACACGCAGGTTTCCGCCAGCAGGCCGAGGCAGACGGCCGTCAGGGACAAACGCCGACTGCAGTTCAGGATCACTAAAAACCACAAAAATGGAGATTTAGACAGAAATCCCCAAGAAAAAACCACCATCCAATCACAGATTACACACCAGATAGTTCAAACTCAGCATGAAATGCTCATAGGTACAAAAAAATAATATAAAAATTGTTTAAAATTCATTTTATCTGCAGTTTAAACCATCTGGGGTCAATGAAAGAAGAATGAGTCGCCCCCTGCTGGTGGTTTTTATGCGTTACATCATCCTGCTTTTCCTCAAAGGTTTTCTATTCCCGATTCAAACTAATGAGACTTCATCAGAGCTTAAAGTCCTCTTTCAGGATTAGCCTTAAGCCCCAGGGGAAACTTCCCCTACCAGGCAAACAGGAAGCACCAGAGAGTAGGGATGTCAAAAGTATCGATACTAAAACGTTGTATCCGGATACGATACTCATTTTCTCTTTGATTTATTTATTTATTTACGTTGTTTATGATCATTAACGTGACGTTAGCCTTGAATTGCTAGCTGTGGCTAACGGCTAATAATAACACGCCAACATTAATCAAGTCTGCAGGAAGCCAAGGATGGATATCCAACTCCCCCACATCCAAGTCGGCCATTTTGATTAGGTCACCAATAGGAAGATCCCAGGCAAGAAAATCCTAATTGCTTCATGGCAATATAGACATTCATTTAAAAATAGTGAAATGAATCTTGCAAACGCTGAATTAAACTCTATACATAATATTATGTTAAAATAGTGTAATGTTAAATAGGTTTGTACAATAAGTTCAAACAAGTTTAACCAAAAAATATTTATTTCTCACAATTATGAAGGGTTAGTCAGGGTTAGGGTTAGGGTCAGGGTTAAGTTTAGGGTTAGGTTTAGGGTTAGGTTTAGGGTTAGGGTCAGGGTTAGGGTCATTAATGTGGGCCACGATAACATCAGTAACAGGTCAGTTTGAAACCAAAGACTCTAACCTGTCAAAATTCCGTTAAATTTGGCGGCCTTTGTTTTTATCCTTGTGGTATCCAAAATGGTATCGAGTATGGAGTATTTTCCTGAGTATCGGTATGGAGATTAAAACCCTACCAGAGAGCAGGGTCAGGGTCAGGGTTAGTGTTAGGGTCAGGGTTAGGTTTAGGGTTAGGGTCATTAATGTGGGCCACCATAACATCAGTTACAGGTCAGTTTGAAACCAAAGACTCTAACCTGTCAAAATTCCGTTAAATTTTGCGGCCTTTGTTTTTATCCTTGCTGTATCCAAAATGGTATGGAGTATTTTCCTGAGTATCGGTATGGAGATTAAACCCTACCTCTGATGGCCTGGGAGTTGGAGGTGAGCACGAACAGCTTGATGAGGCCGAGGCAGAGCGGGGAGTAGTCGTGCTCCCAGATGACGGCGGGCACCAGCAGGACTTTCCCATAGCTGGACAGAAGCAGCGCCCTGAATAACAGGCCCACATCCACCGGTCTGACCTCAGGACCCCGGACCCAGACCTGGACCCACCGGACCCCCCGGACCTGGACCCAGATCCACAGGAAACACAGCGCGGTGCCGCAGAACGCCGCCAGCTCTGCCAGAACACAGGAGGAGTCAGAAAAAATGAACCCCACACCCCTAAAATAAACTCCCATCAAGTAGAACATCAAACAAAATACAAGCGTCAGATTTTTGAAATGTAAAAATACAAAAATTGGATTAAAAAACAGGAATTCCTGGATGTGTTTGTGACCAAATGCCTGAAAATGTACCGTGTTTAAAAATGTATAAACTGAATAAATTGGAGTGCGTTATCGTTTTTAAATTTAATTAGAATAAAGAAATTCCTGGTTGTGTTTGTGACCAACTGTCAGAAAATTTTCCGTCTTTAAGAATGTACCGATAGCATTTTTAATTTAATTAGAATAAAGAAATTCCTGGATGTGTTTGTGACCAAATGCCTGAAAATGTACCGTGTTTAATAATAAATAAACTGAATAAATTGGAGTGTGTTATCGTTTCTGAAATTAATTAGAATAAAGAAATTCCTGGTTGTGTTTGTGACCAAATGTAAGAAATTTAACATCTTTAAAAATGTACCGATTGCATTTTTAATTTAATTAGAATAAAGAAATTCCTGGTTGTGTTTGTGACCAAATGTCAGAAATTTAACATCTTTAAAAATGTACCGATTGCATTTTTAATTTAGTTAGAATAAAGAAATTCCTAGACGTGTTGGTGACCAAATTTCAGAAAATTTAACGTCTTTAAAAATGTATAAACTGAATAAATGACAGTGTGATAGCATTTTTAAATTAATTAGAATAAAGAACTTCCTGGATTTGTTTGTGACCAGATGTC